CTCAGGCTCAGCACCCCTAGTCCCCGCACCCGCAGGCTCAGCACCCCTAGCAGCACCTGAGTCGACAGCTACCTCGACCGGCTCGGCAGGGTCTACCTGGGACACACCTTAGGGTGTAGGACCCTGAGGGGGGAGGGGGTCTACCGGGGGAGTACCTGGTGCTAGGAAGAGCGGCGGGGGGGGGGAGAGAGGCAGTGCGGTAGGGAAAGTGACGGTAGTACGACACCGACTCGTCAAACGTGAAGTCCTGAGAGGACAGAACACGACACGAGGTGGGGTGGTAGAACTGCCACCCGGGTGCGTCAGGAGGGAAGCCAAGGAAGACATAGGGAACGGCACGGGAGGACAGCTTGTCCGCTGTAGTATCGCGGACAAAAGCTCGAGATCCCCAGACACGGAACGCGGACGCATCGCCAACCTTCCCCTTCCACCGCAGAGTAGGTGTGGTCTCCGGCAAGGAGACACGAGGCTGAAGGTTGATCTGATGCGCAGCGTACTGAACCGCGAATGGCCACAGAAAATGGGGAGCAGCCGCATGGATCATGGACGTACGAGCGACGTCCATGACCATGCCAATGCGGCGCTCAGCAATCCCATTTTGCTGTGGGGAGGCCGGAAGCGTGAACGTCTGGCGGATGCCCTCCGAACGACAGAAGGCCCTCAGGAGGTCGGAGGAAAACTCCCCACCTCTGTCTGAGTGCAGACGCAGAACAGGAAGGTCTGAACCGAAACTCTCACTGAGCTGGCGACGAGCACCGCGGATCTAGTCGATCAACACCTCAGGGAACTCACCCTTGCTGCGCAAGGGGAAGACTGTGGTGTAACGCGAGTAGTCGTCAACGACCAGCAGGAAGTAACGCTCGTGACCCTGTCCACGAACGCGGGCTGGGCCCCACACGTCCATGTGAAGAGTCTGCAGAGGAGCCTCAGTCGGAGGGAACGAGGAGGAGTGAGGAGCGGCGCGCTGCCTGCCCTCGACACAAGGAACACAGATGGGGGCAGGCCCCGGAGGAAGGGGAGGGAGGGACCGGGGTAGACCCGAGACAAGGGCACGGGAGGCCATACCTCAAAGACGAGGCAGGGAGGGGTGACCAAGGCGGTGGTGCCAAAGGAGAGTCTCGTGCGACAGAGGACGACACGAGCAGGGGGCAGACGCAGGACTAGACCTGGACGCGGCAGCAAACACCTGACTAGACGCAGCTACCTGACCAGACGCAGAGACCGGAGGAGACGCAGTAGTCAGTGTGTACAGACTCGACCCTGGCCGACGGGTGAACGTGGCCAGGTGGCGGCCCGTCCGAGAGCAAGTGCAGTGGGTCACACGCTGACCTCCAGGGGTGAACTGGTCAACCCACGCGTCCTGGAGGTCAGCTCCACTCACCAAGTTCGTAGAGAACGAGGGGAGGTGGAGTCTTGACAGCAAGCCTGACGGGGCCGCAGGACACGGTAGAACCGTGGAGGAGTGTGCAAGATCTGGGCCCCCTGAGGGGTCAGCAAGGGAGACCGCAACAGGCCGACTGAGCGGCATGAGCATGGTGCTGTCTCTAAAGAAAGAGCGCGAAGCACCAGAGTCAAGTGTGAAAGTGTGCAAGGACTCAGTAGGTGCAGTACCAGAGAGAGTAGACGCACCAGCACCTGGAGCAGCAGACGCACCAGTACCTGGAGTAGCAGACGCACTAGCACCTAGAGCAGCAGCCGCAATGCCCGGGTCGGGCGGGACACTCAGGTAACAGTCACCCTCAGCACTATCAGCAATAGCATATATGGCAGCAAGGATAGCATCAAAATCTAGATCAAACATAGGCACATTCTGCAGAAGTAGATCATGCCAGCGAGGGAGCTCAACGGCGTCAGGAAACTGGGCACGCCAAGCGTCAGTCAAGCGACCGAAGTAGCGCTGCGTAGTGTGTGGGAGCCCACACACCTCCCCAGTACGAGTGCCGGTGCGAAGAACGTAAGTGCAGGGACCTGCACCCCCAGACCTCCCACGCCCAGCGTACCACTCACGAAGCTGCTGGACCGACGGGGTCTCACGGGAGCGCAGCTGCTGCTGGCGCTGGCTGCCACCAAAGCCTCCACGCTGCGCGGCTGCACCTCGACCAGCACCACCGCCACCGCCACCTCCACCACCGCCGCCGCTGCCTCCACCACCTCCGCCACTGCCGCCACCACCTCCACTGCCGCCACTGAAGCCCCCACTCCAAGTACCACCCCCACCTCCACCGCCACCTCCTCCGCCTCCTCCACCTCCTCCACTGGTGCCCCCTCCACCACCCTTGCTCCCCTTGCCCTTGCTGTTGCGGCGTCTCCCACTAGGGGCAGACGCAGCTCCGACCTCCTCAGTACCAACGAGGTCGACAGCAGCAGCAGAAGCAACAGAGGGGAGAAGGGGGACAGGGGAACACCCCTCAAAGAAAGGGGTGCGACGGTCGCCGCGAGAAGCACCTACAGCTAAGATACTCTTCTCAGCTGCAGCAAGGCGCTCCTCTAGCAGGTCGACAGTCAGCTCAGTGGGGCAAAGTGAGAGAAAGTGGTCCCTGACTGAAGAAAGGGAGTCAGGGAGGCGGGTGACTAGGTAGTAAAGGGTGATGTACATGGGGGGGGGGTTCTTGGCACAGAACTCAGTGGGAAGGGCAGCGCGGTAGCGGTCGTCACTGGTGTGAAGGTGAGCAACTAGGTCAGCAACTGTGGTAAAGGCGGCAAGGTCAGGGAAAAGGTACGGCAGCATGAGGCGGCTGAGGGCAGCAGTGGCAGGGGAGGAGTAGCGTGCAACTACAGCGTCGTACAAAGACTGAGCAGTCTTGTACTGGCCAAAATGTGCGCGCTCAGCAGGCGGCAGGTGACTACGAACAGCAAGACGAGCAACAGCGTCACGAGTGGTCCACTACGAGCGAACCGTACTGTCAGCAGTGGCAGTAGGAGCAGTGGAAACACCGGACGTGTGATCGAAAAGGGATACCCCATCCCTAGAATCACATTGAAGAAAGAGCTGTTGGTCGTCAACCCACACGTCAAAGTCAACTGCACGTCCCTCAGCGTCAAAGGTGAGAACGGTAGGACTATTCATAGCAGCAGTAGCAGCAGTAGCAAGCGTAGCAGTAGTAGAAGCAGAGGCAGTAAGGCAGTGCAAGGCAGTGCGGCTCGGTAGGGCAGTGCGGCTCAGTAGGGCAGTACGGCTCGGTGGGGCGGCGCGGCTCGGCCGAGCGGCGCGGCTCGGCTGGGCGGCGCGGCTAGGCTGGGCAGCGCGGCTCGGCTGGGCGGCGCGGCTCGGCTGGGCGGCGCGGCTCGGCTTACCAGAGACTGGTGCAGGGGCGGGCCGTGAACGCAGGGGCCGCGCCAGTAGGGGGGGGGGCGGGAGCGCACCAGCAGGGGCCGGCAGGGGCGCTTCAGTAAGGGCCGGCAGGGGCGCGCCAGTAGGGGCGCGTCAGCAGGGGCCGGCAGAGGCGCGTCAGCAGGGGTCGGTAGGGGCGCGCCAGCAGGGGCCGGTAGGGACTCGCCAGCAGGGGCCGGTAGGGGCGCGCAAGTAGGGGCGCGTCAGCAGGGGCACGGAAGGGGCACGCAAGTAGGATCCGGCAGGGGCTACGGCAGCTGCTGAAGGGGCCGCGAATGGCCGCAAAGGGGGGGGGCGCGACGGGCCGCGATGGGCCGCAAGAGGGGCCGCGAAGGGCCGCAAAAGGGGGGGGGGGGGCGTGAAGGGCCGCGAAGGGCCGCGAAGGGGGCCGCAAGGGGCCGCGATGGGCCGCAAGAGGGGCCGCGAAGGGCCGCGAAGGGGGGCCGCGAAGGGCCGCGAAGGGCCGCGAAGGGGCCGCAAGGGGCCGCGAAGGGCCGCGAAGGGCCGCAAAGGGCCGCGAAGGGGCCGCGAAGGGCTGCGAAGGGCAGCGAAAGGGCCGCGAAGGGCCGCGAAGGGGGCCTCGAAGGGGCCGCAAAGGGGGGGCCGTGAGGGGCGCGACGAGGAGCCCTAAGGGCGGGCCGCTAAGGGCAGAGCACGGGGGGCGCAGCTAAGAAAAGTGCGAAGCGCGCTTCGGGCAGGTAAGGAAAAAAAATTGCGTAGTGGTGGGCCCTAAAAAAACGGTCCCAGTAGGGAACCCGCTCTATACCATGTGAGAATAATGAGAGGAATGAATGAACTAGAAAGCAGATGGGTACAAGTAGGAAACACAAAAGTGTTGTACCCTCTAAGAACTACCCCACTACAGCCTAAACAGACTATAGCATATATAAGTTTGACAGTGAGTTCTCCTCCGACCTCTTGCGGGACTTTCGTCATGGGGAGGGCATCCTCCAGTCATTCACGCTTCCGGCCTCCTCGCAGCAAAATGGGATTGCTGACCGCCGCATTGGCTTAGTCATGGAGGTGGCTCGTACCTCCATGATCCATGCGGCTGCTCCCCATTTTTTGTGGCCGTTTGCGGTCCAGTACGCTGCGCATCAGCTCAACCTCTGGCCCCGTGTCTCCTTGCCGGAGACCTCGCCTACACTGCGTTGGACGGGGAAGGTTGGCGCCGCGTCGGTGTTCTGGGTCTGGGGTTCTCGTGCCTTTGTTCGCGATACGTCCGCGGACAAGCTCTCCTCCCACGCTATTCCCTGTGTCTTCCTTGGCTTTCCCCCTAACGCGCCTGATTGGCAGTTTTACCACCCCACCTCGCGCCATGTCCTCCCCTCTCAGGACGTCATGTTTGACGAGTCGGTTCCCTTTTACCGTCTCTTCCCCTACTGCTCTGCCCCTCTCACACCCCCGCCGCTCTTTCTTGCTCCAGGTCCCCCTTTGGTAGACCCCCTCCCCCCTCAAAATCCTGCTCCCTCAGGTCTGTCTCAGGTAGACCCACTCCCCGGGACTGTGCATGTCGAGGTCGCTGAAGCTGGAGGCACTGCTAGACAGGAGGTGTTGTAGCTGCTGAAGGATGCTGCTAGAGGTACTGCGTCTGGGAGTGCTATGTCTAGGGGTGCTGAGCCTATGAGTGCGGAGCCTGGGGGTGCTGAGCCTGCGGGTGCGGAGCGTGATGGTGCGGAGCCTGGGGGTGCGGAGCCTGGGGGTGCAGAGCCTGAGGGTGCGGAGCCTGGGGGACCTTAGCCTGAGGTTGCGGAGCCTAGGGGTGCTGAGTATGAGGGTGTGGGGTCTGGGGGTGCTGAGCCTAGGGGTAATGCTTCTTCTGGAGGTCTTGCGGGTGCCTCGCCACGTCTGTCTCCCCGACCAGAGCCTCTCTCCTCGCAGCAGCTGCCCGAGTGGTTTGCTCAGCGCACACGCCTTCTGAGTGGAGCTGCCGGAGCTGGAGACTCTACCGCTGGAGGCATTGGAGTTAGAGGTGCTGGAGCTACTACTCTTGGAGGTGCTGGAGTTCCTGCTGGAGCTGAAGGTACCGGAGGTGCTGGAGCTGCTGGTCCTAGAGTTGCTCGTACTAGGGGTACTAGAGCTGCCGGGGCTGGTGGTGTTGGGGGCGCTGGAGCTGGAGCTGGAGACCCTGGCGCTGGAGGCGCTGGAGCTGGAGGCACTGGCGCTGGCGGTGCTGGAGCTGGAGAGGCTGGAGCTGGATACCTTGGCGCTGGAGGCGCTGGAGCTGGAGGCACTGGAGTAGGAGACACTGGCGCTGGGGGCGCTGGAGCTAGAGGCAGTGGAGCCGTTGACCCTAGAGCTGGAGGTGCTGGCGCTGGGGGTGTTGCGTTTGGCGGGCCTCGTGCTGGAGGCACTGTGCAGTGGTGCCCGTTTTTCGTTCCACCGCCACCGCCGTCTCTGCCGCCACCTGACTCGGTCCTTCACCAGGTTCTTAGTCTCCCATCTTCAATTGGCCTTCCTCCTAGCTTACTGAGTCCACCGCCTCGCCACTCGCAAGAACAATTACAGCCAGACTCCCCACTACCTGCTCCTTCTCCTTACACTTAGCAGGCATACTCTTTTACAGAGCGTCGTGAGCCTGAGTCTCGTCCTCCCTCGCCTGTTCGCGCTGTTCACACTGGTCGTCGGGTTCCTCGTCCGCATCCTCCTCCTATCCCCGGCACTCATGTTCTGGTACTTCGTCGTTCCTCTGTTCCATTGCGAGTTCCTCTGCCTCCTCCTCCTGGGTCCTCTCTTCCTACCATTCCTGACCCTGAGTCTGACCTAGCTTGTGGGCTGCCTCATGTACCTGATGATCTGCACTCGACCTGACCTTGCCTACCCTCTTTGCATCCTGGCATGCTACGTTGCGCCCAAGAGACACCGACCAGAGCACAGGGAGGCCGCTAAGAGGGTGTTGCGCTACTTGTGCAGTACGTCGGGCATGGGGCTCGTGCTTGGAGGACGGGGTCCAGTTTTCCTCACTGGACACGCAAATGCTTCTTGGGTTGAAGACTTGGCTACGCAGCGGTCGTCACAGGGTTACACCTTCAGCCCTGGTTCCGGCTCTGTTTCTTGGCAGTCTACCCGCTCGTCTTCTGTTCTCAGTTCTAGTTGTGAGGCTGAGATCTACTTGGGGACCATGGCTGCACAGGAGTTACGCTGGCTCACCTACCTGCTGACCGACTTGGGAGAGCGGCCTCGTTCTTCTCCAGTTCTGTACGTAGACAACAAGGCCATGATTCCCTTGTGTTAGGAGCACAGACTGGAGCACAGAACGAAGCACATCGCTCTGCGTTATTTCCTTGCTCGAGAGTTGCAGCAGCGTGGTCAGCTTCGTCTTGCGTACGTGGCCACTAGGGCCAACACTGCTGATATATTCACCAAGGCACTTCAGTCTGGTGATCATCAGCATTTCTGTACTGTTTTAGGCCTTGTGCCTACTTTGCCTCACTTGCTCACTGCGTGACTTTGCTTGTACTATGATCTATATATATACCTGCATGCTTACACTTGCTAGGGTATGATCACTGTACTGTTTGTTCTCTTTTATATAACTCTGCATGTGAACTGGCCTTGTGGCCATTTTCTTGTGCTCGGAATGTGTGGTGACTTCGTGATCCACCCCGAGCTTGCTTTGCTTTTCTTGACTGGTCTTGTGACCACTTGTTTTCCCCCACTTTGCCTATGGGGGTGTGTCAACTTATATAGTGCTTACTTTGTGTAGGCTATAGTGGGGTAGCCCATAAGGAGTACAACCCATCTAGGGTTAGTACTTGTACCCAACTCTTTCATAGTTCATTCATTATCGTTCTAGATTCTAACAGCTGCCACCTGTGCTGCGACTGCTGCGCTGCTGCTACCACCTGTGCTGCTGCTGCTGCTGCTGCCGCCTGCGCTGCTGCTACTGCTGCGCTGCTACTACTGCTTAGCTGCTGCTGCTGCTAGGCTGCTGCTGCCGCCTGAGCTGCTGCTGCCGCCTGCGCTGCTGCTGCCACCTGTGCTAGTGCTGCTGCTAAGCTGCTGCTCCCGTCTGCACTGCTGCTGCTGCTGCTGCTGCTAGGCTGCTGCTGCTAGGCTACTTCTGCTGCTGCTAGGCTGCTGCTGCAGCCTGCGCTGCTGCTGCCGCCTGCGCTGCTGCTGCCACCTGTGCTGCTACTGCTGCGCTGCTACTGCTCAGCTGCTGCTGCCACCTGTGCTGCTGCTGCTGCTGGGCTGCTGCTGTTGCTAGGCTGCTGCTGCCGCTTGAGTTGCTGCTGCTGCGCTGGTGCTGCTACTGAGCTGCTGCTCCTGACTGCGCTGTTGTTGCTGCTGCTGCTAGGCTGTTGCTGCCGTCTGAGCTACTGTTGCCACCTGCGCTGCTGCTGCCACCTGTGCTGCTGATGCTGCTGCTGCTGCCGTAACTGCCACTCCTGCTGCTTGCTGTCGTTCCTGCTGCTATGGCTACTCCCACTGTTCTAGCCTTTGACACAGTGGGGCACCCTTTAGGGTTCGACTCCTGGCTAGACGGGCTGCACATGTACCTCCATAGTGTCACTCGCGATGACGTCTCACTGTTCGAGCACACGTCGGGGTCTCTTCAGGCCCCCAAGGCTCCTTTTGAGCATGTTGCTGACGCTGGGGAGGAGGTGCGGACGCAGTTCCGCGCAGCTCACATTGCCTACAAGCGGTGGATGGCGCAAGACGCCGCCGCCACACTTGCAGTCCGCCTTCACCTCTCGTTCGACCAGAGAGCCAACTTTCGCCAGGTGCCGTCGGCCCATGCTATGTATTCCGTTGTGGTTAGGCGCTACTCCCCCCCCCCCTCCTGCAGTCCTAGGCTGTCTTGCAGTGCCTCTTACCTTCCTTGCGCTGTCAGACCTCATCAGTGTAGCTAACGAGGGTGGTCGTAGTGGAGCTGGCGGTAGTGGCGGGGGCGGGCACCAGGAGTTAGAGCCTTCGTGTGTCGCTGCTTGTGCGCCAACTAGCACAGTCTATGCGCACCCCTCCACTGTTCTCTCATGTCTCGTAGTCCCGTCTGCCTCCTCTGGCTCGACCGAGGGAGGTGACCCTACTGCTGCCGACACAGCGACCTCTCGCCGCTCGCCACGCTTGGAGACACCTCCGGGTTTTCTACCTCGGACGTCTTCACCTCCTCTGCAACCTGTCGCTGCGGACTTCGGGGGCCCAGGTGTTGTTGGGGGTGGTGACGCTGGGGGTGCTGGTTCTAGGGGTGCTGCCTCTGGGGGTGCTAGGAGTCCTCTTGTTGGTAGAGTTGGAGGTACTGGCACTGGAGGTGCTGGCGCTTGAGGTGCTGGGTCTGGGGGTGCGTTGCAGTCGCTGCCGCGACGGCCTATCTTCTTGGAGCAGCCGTCATCGTCGCTACCTGAGCCGACGCCCACTTGTACTACTCCTCCTCTATTGTTTCCACCGCCTGACTCCCCACTGCCTGCTCCTGCTCGATACGTCCCGTTGTCCGACTCCCTGACTGGGCGTCGGGAGCCTGTGTCTTGTGCCGCCTCCCCTGCTCCCTCTCGTGTCACTCGGGAGCCTGTTGTCCTATCGTTACCTCCCCCGTCTTCTCTTCCTGCTGTTCCTGACCCTGTCTCTGACCTTGCTCGTGCTGCTCGCCCGACTATTCCTTGTTGTCTAGTCATGCTTGTGACTGCACCTGCTTCTTCGTCTGCTGCTGCTTGTGCCTTAGTAGCTGAGCTCGCAGGCTTTGCCACTACTTGCCGCCGTGCCTACCTTGCTGGTCTCGTTTCTGCCTCTTCGTGCCCTCCGTCTGTCGGGGGTGAGCTTGCCCTTGGCTGTGACGTCCTTGAGGATAGGCAGTTCGAGCTGGAGTACATGCCGTACCCTCTCAGCATCCGAACTCGCTACGTTGCACCCGGGAGACCACCCTACGCATGGGTGGGCTGCTAGGAGGGTGCTGCGCTACCTGGTCAGACTAGCGAGCAGAACGTAGCACTTTGCACTTCGTTCCTTTGCCGTGCGAATGTTGCAGCAGCGTTCCCAGCTTCGCCTTTGTACATGGCCACACAGGCCAACACTGCTTGTCTCTTGACCTTGTCTTGTACTTTGATATATAAACCTGCATGTTTCTGGTTGCTAGGTTGTAATCATTGTACTGCTTGCTTTATTATTAAACTGCATGTGAACGGGCCTTGTGGTCGCTTGCTAGTGCTCAGAGTGCGCGGTGATCTTGAGATCCACCCTGAGCTTGCTTTGCTTTGTTTCTTCTCTTGACTGGTCTTGTGACCGCTTGTTGTGTTTGCTATCCCCCACTTCGCCTATGGGGGTGTGTCAAATTATATGTTTACTGCTATCCAGGCTGTAGTGGGTTTAGCCTTAGGGAGTACAGTAAGTTTCTCGACACTTCATTGTATCCCCCTCCTTGCCCTAATCCATCCCATTCCTTCCTACCTATCTCAACACCTCCAGCACCTCTTGTACCCGTAGGACACTCGGCACCCCCAGAGCCAGCACCCCTAGTGGCCGCACCCCCAGTGTCACCATACCAGAGTCCACAACGACGGGCTGTAGAGGCGGTGAAGGCGGTCAAGGCGGAAACCCAGGAGGGGTCGCCAAGCGCGCTGAGCGGCGAGGGGCCACGGTGTCGGCAGCAGCCGGGTCACCCCCTCAGCTGGGCCAGTTGTGATAGAGGAGACCTCCAAAGGCTCAACCAAGGGGGGTGGGTCTACCTGAGACACACCTGAGGGAGCAGGACCCTGTGGGGGGAGGGGGGCTACCCGGGGGGGGGGGGGTCAGGTACCAAGGAGAGAGGCGGGAGGGGCACGGGGGAATTGCGGTAGGGGTGGAGACGGTAGAAGCAGACAGACTCGTCAAAAGTGACGTCCTGAGATGAGAGGACACCACGAGAACCTGGGTGGTAAGACTGCCATGGTGGGGCGTCTGTGGGACAGTCGAGGAACACGCCCCGAAGAGTGCGCGGAGAGAGCTTGCCCGCGGGCAGATCGCGTACAAGAGAGAGGGAACCCCAGACCCGAAACGACGCATCACCAACCTCTCCCGTCCACCGCAGAGTAGGGGAGGTCTCCGCGTGGGAGACACGGGGCCAGAGGTTGACCTGCTCAGCGGCGTATCGGACCGCAAACGGCCATAGAAAATGGGGAGCAGCCGCATGGACGATGGAGGTGCGAGCAACCTCCATGACCAAGCCAATGCAACGCTCTGCAATCCCATTCTGTTGCGGAGAGGCCTGAAGCGTGAATGACTGAGCGATGCCCTCAGCACCACAGAAGTCCTCGAGGAGGCGGGAGC